GGCCATGACGGGCGAAGCCCCCGAGGAGCCCCCTGAGAAGGCGGTGAACCCCGCGGCCCCCGGTTACCGCTCGCCGCCGGGCCTGGGTGGCCGTGCCAGGCTGATGAGCAGCTCCCAGGAGCTGCTGGGGGACGGCCCGCGGGGTCCCCCTGCCGCTGCCATCTCCAAGAGCCAGGAATACCTGGCGGAGGGAGCCAGTGAGGGCCCCCCTGCGCCACCCAAGGAGGGGCGCCCGCCCCGGCACGGCCACCCTGTGAAGCGTGCCAGCGTGCCACCAGTGCCCGGCAAACCCCGACAGCCCTTCCCGCCCTCCACTGGGCACCTGACGCCGCCACAGACCCCCGGCAAGGCACGGCCCCCCTCTCCGCAAGGGCCAGCTGTGCCCCACGCCACCGCCAAGGTGAAGCCCACCCCGCAGCTGCTGCCGCCCGGCGAGCGCCCCGCGTCGCCCCGCTCCCTGCCCCAGTCACCCACCCACCGCGGCTTCGCCTACGTCCTGCCGCAGCCCGCCGAGGGCGAGGGGGCATCCCCGGGGGTGCCCGTCCTGCCCGTCTCGGTGCCGGTGCTGTGCCTGCCTCCGGCGGGCGAGGGCGAGGAGGAACCGGGGAGGCCGAAGAAGCGGGCACACAGCCTGAACCGCTACGCCGCCTCCGACAGCGAGCAGGAGCGGGACGAGCTGCTGGTGCCGGACGCGGGGCCCTACGCCACCGTCCAGCGGCGCGTGGGCCGCAGCCACTCGGTGCGGGCAGCCGCCGGCAGCGACAAGAACGTCAACCGCAGCCAGTCCTTCGCCGTCCGCCCCAAGAAGAAGGGACCCCCACCACCCCCTCCCAAGCGCTCCAGCTCCGCCATCTCCAGCGCCGGCATGGCCGAGGACTTCCCCAAGGAGGGTGAGGGCGAGGTGGCCATCGGACCCCCGAGCGCTGAGGGGGAGAGCCGGCGGGAGCAGCGGCGGGCCAGCGACCTGGGCGGCAGCGTGGACACGGGCAGCGCCGGCAGTGTGCGCAGCATCGCGGCCATGCTGGAGATGTCCTCCATCGGCGGCGGGGCCCGCGCGCTGGCCCTGCAGAAGCCGCACGTGGCCGGTGGGCCTGGGCCGGCCAAGGCACCCGACGGCTACTACCTGCAGCCGGGACCCCCCCCGGGCAGCCCCGACCGTGCCCGTGTGGCCACCGTCCTGGCCACCGTCAAGCACAAGGAGGCCATCGGGCTGGATGGAGAGGTGGTGAACCGGCGCCGGACCATCAGCGGCCCTGTCACCGGGCTGGTGGCAGCCGCCCGCCGCGAGCGCGCCGACAGCGTGCGGTCGGAGGCGGGTGCCGACAGTCCCGGCGAGCGGCTGCGGGTGGAGCGTGGCGGTTCCCCCGACGGCATCCCCTTTGCCGAGGAGGGCACCCTCACCATCAAGCAGCGGCCACGGCCCCTGGGGCCGGCCCGGGGGGAGGCAGGCGAGGGGCTGTCCCCAGCCCACCGCCATGGGGAGCTGGCCAAGGTGGAGGCCAGTGCCACTCTCAAGCGGCGGATCCGGGCCAGGCAGAGCCAGCAGGACGGCGTCCGCTTCATCCTCACCGAGTCCGACACCGTCAAGCGCCGGCCCAAGGCCAAGGACAAGGAGCCGGCGCTGGAGCCGGCCACACTCGCCGTGTACCAGAACGGCACCGGCACCGTGAAGCGGCGGCCGGCCTCCGAGCTGAGCGGGGCTGAGCCGCCCCCGACCCCACCGCCCACTGCCCGCCCTGACGGCCCCGACTACATCCCACCGCCTGCCGAGCCCAAGAAGCCCTTCAAGCCACCGGTGTCCCCCAAGCCTGTGCTGACGCAGCCACCTCAGAAGGTGCCTGGGCCACCAGTGCCCATCCCCAAAAAGGTGCCCATCCCAAGCCCTGGCAGCCCAGGTAGGTGCCCCACCAGATCCCTGGGACAGGCTCTCCCCGGGACAGAGGCCAGGGGTCCCCGCTGGCCCTGCCGCCCTCCTGCCTCTCTCTCTTTTCTCCGCAGAGGTGAAGCGGGTCCACGGCACGCCGCCTCCAGTGTCCCCCAAGCCCACGCCGCCTCCCACGGCACCCAAGCCCCCCAAGCCCCACGCTGCCATCCAGTCGGTGAGCGCCAGCTCCACGCCGGCCCCGTCGCCCGCCCGGCAGCTGGGCCCCGCGGGCACCAAGCCCTCCAGCACCCCACCCTCGCTTTGCTCCAGCCCTGCCAAGCCCCTCTCGCCTGGCGCGCAGCCCCAGCAGGTGCCGGTGAAGCCGCCGCGCTCCACCATCGCCAGCCCCTCCGTGGACAGCGCCGGCCCCGAGCTGGCACAGCAGAAGCTGGAGGAGACGAGCGCGTCCCTGGCTGCTGCACTGCAGGCTGTGGAGGAGAAGATCAAGCAGGAGGACAGTCAAGCAGAGTAAGGGGGTGCAGGGGGTGGTTGTTCCACAGGGAGGGTGCGGGACCGTGCGGTGCCAATGAGCACCAGAGGCCACAAGCACTGCAGGCAGGGATTGGGATGTGGCCACGTGGTGGGGGTGGGATGGTGCCAGGAGGGATTCTGGGGGACACTGGTGGAGCATCAGGGGACCTTGGCTGGAGCTGCATTGGGGAAGTGACACTGGGGGACACCGTGGTGGAGCAGCATGGGCAGCGAGACCTGGGCATGTGGGTGCACTGGGGACATTGGCACAGAGCACTGTGTAGCAGCCCTGGGGTCTGTATGAGCAGTGACACTGGGGACAGTGCTGAGCACGGCAGGGGGGCAGGAGGGCTGTGGCACAGGGTGGTGGGGGCTGTGTGGTGTCCTCATCCCGTGCGTAGCCCTGACCCGTCCCGGTCACTCCCCAGCTCGGCCGTGGAGTCAAAGAGCACCGTGAGCATCCTGGACGACATCGGCAGCATGTTCGACGACCTGGCGGACCAGCTGGATGCCATGCTGGAGTGAGGGGCGCCAGGGCCCCGCGAACCTCAGGGCTTACGTGGGCACAAGGGCACAACGATCCACGACCCCCCGGCCCCGCCGCCCTCCCCCCGGCCCCTTTGTACAGCCGTCCCCTCCCGGACATCCCGTCCCTCGGGGTTTGCACAAAGAAGAAGATACCTCAGGATTGTGCTCACAGACTCGGCGCCGGCTCCGGCAGGACTCCCTTTTGCAGAAGCAAAAAAAAAAACAAAAACAAAACAAAACCCAACAGAAGAAACAAAGCAACACGTCCGGACCGAACCGCTGCCGGGGCTCTGGGAGGCTCTGGGGGGCTCCCGACCTCCCCGTCTGGTGGCCGCCCGTGCCCTGCCAGCCCTGGCGCCGCGGGTCACCGCGACCCGAATGTAGCACAAGCCCTGCCCGGCGGCCCCGGCAGTGGCTCCGCCAGCCACGTGGCACCGATGGCGTTTGCAAGTGGCGGGGCCGGGTGGGCAAATGCACTTGGGTTTCTTTGCTCCGTTTTTAATTTTTATTTTTTAAACTGTTTTCTTTCTCGGTTGGGGTTGGCGGGGGCGGCCAGGGCAGCTCCGGGCTGGCGGCTCCCCGGGGGCAGCGGGACGTGCCCCTGCCCGGCCCCTCCCCGCCCGGGGACAGGACGGTGATAAGCTATAAAAGAAGTATTAATTTATTGGAGGGGAAAAAAAAATAAAAAAAAAAGATATAAAGCAGATTTCCCCCACCCCCCAAAATAATAAAAAGAAATAAACTTTAACAAATATATATTTAAAAGATTTTAAAATATTAGCAATTATATATAAAGCAGTTTAAAAGAAATCAAGAGAAAACTGGATTTTAGCTTGAGAAAAACTATTAGATTATACTAAGCTGTGTGTCTTGTGGCAAACTCATTCTACGAGTAGCACAATATTTACCTTTTCTCTGGGTGGAAGGTACGTGCGAGCAGTTCTGGTCGGGTTTTCCGTTGGGATTCAGTGTCGCGTCTTTCTTTTTTCCACCGTTACGAACTCAAAGGATGTGCCTTGTTTTATGGAGGTTTTTGTTAATTCTTACACTGGAGGTGTTTCATTTCTTTTGGAGTGTCTTCGGGGTTTGGTTTAGGTTTCTCCTGGTTCCTTTTGCTGTCGGTGTTTGTTTGGGGTGTGTGTGGTGTGCGTGGGTGTGCACGCGGGGTGCCTGTGCTCGCGTGCGTCCTCCGGGATGCACCGCTGTATATTCCTGTATAAACTGGAGTTGGAGTCTGGTTCAGTCGCTTGAGTCCTGATGAATGCATTTTTTGCTTGTGGTTTCCAAACAAAAGTGTTGCTGTTCCTTTCTTTTCTTGAGACGTAGAGTGGTCTCTCCCCTCTTCTCTCTCCCCCCATCCCTCTCCCCACTTTCCTCTCTCCCCGTCTCTCCCGTTGTGGTCGCTGATCCAGATGTGTTTGGCACAACTTTGAAATTTCTTTTAAAAAAACAAAAAATCAAAAACAAACAAACAAAAAAGACTTTAAAAATAATTAAAAAAAAATAAATCACCCGCCTGAAAATATCTGTTGAAAAGAAAAAAAATATGTATCTTAAAAAAAAAAATCCATAAAGTTCTACATGATGGATATATACATATATATATTTTTTATGATTAAGTTATGGACTCTGTATTGTATCCCATCTGTCCAGCTCTGCATCTTGGTGCTGCTCCCTGCTCTTCTGTGCTTAGATTTCACCTCTACTCGTCCTTATTCTTCCTATTCTGAATAGTAGATGGCTCGTGGTGCTGTGAAGACGTTTGCTCCTATACCAAGTCTGGCAACAAATATTTAAAGAAAAATAAAAAAAATAAAACCCTTGCCAGGCTGCCACCACTGTTTGTGTCCCCAAAGCATCCCGAGTCCTTGTGGTGTGGTTGTGTCATGCCGGGTGTTCAGTGTCGTGGGGGGGGTTTGTGCTGCACGGTCGGGGGGCACCCTTGGGGGCCTCTGTGGGGTGCTGGGGCCTGGCTGGCTGGGAGCTGCTGTCCCCAGTCAGGTGCCTGGTCCCTGCATCCCAATTTTCACTCTACAGGGCCAGTGCTGGTCCCTGCAATAACTCACGCTGGGCAGGAACAACTCTTTCTGCTTTTATTGTCAATGAAGAAATAATCAAATCTATATTACAATCTTAAAAACAGTAGAAAATGTGAGTAAAAATGCAACGGAGGCTTTTTGTCTTTAATGTGGAGACCATAATTACAGGGTGGTGAACAATGGGCTTGTGGAACTTGATTTGAGAACTAGCTGTGGCATAAAAATCGTACCTGGCTACTCAAGGAAATACCTCTTCCCGGATGGATCGGCCCCGGCACCTTGGCAGTAAAATTAAATACTAGAGACAGAAAGGGGTCGGGTGCCCACCCAGGGCAGGGCCTAATGCTCAGTCCTACCACGGCCAGGGGAGCAGCCTCCCAGTGTCACCACTGGGACATGCTGATCCATCCAGTCCCATCACTGGCCAAGGGCTGTGCTCGCCCGGCCTGGAGCCCTGGGGCCCAGAGTCACCCCAGCCCCGGCCCCAGGGGTGTCCCCAGCTGGGGGGACACAGGCAGAGGAAGGCACTGGATATGCTTCCTCTGCTTTTCCAATCATCTAGGGCAGATCTAGGGGAACATCTGGAGCATCCATGGGGCAGACCCATCGGGAGAGCCGCCAGCCGGGATCCCTGCGGGGGGGGCCGGCCAAGGGGCAGCAGCAGGCAGTGGTTGGTGCAGGAGGAGCTGCAGCAGTCATTTCAGAGGATGTGGTCACCCACAGGCCGATGGAGGGGAGAGTTTTTGGTCTTTCAGTGTGCAGGACTAGTGTGAAGCTCTGACTAGCACGTCCAGACCTGTGGAGACAAAGGAACCCACGGCAGTGACTCCTGAGCAGCTCTGGGGGCTTCTCTTCATCCTCCCACAGCACCTCCCTTTGGGCTGCCACCATCCACAACACCCTGGCCAGGAGTGGAGTCTCCCACCTGTTGAGAACTACCCCCTTGTGTCACAGAACCACACAACCATTTAGGTTGGAAAAGACCTCCCAGCCCATGGAGTCCCCCCTGTGCCCAGTCCCCATCTTGTCCCCCAGCCCAGAGCACTGAGTGCCACGTCCCGTTGTTCCTTGGACACCTCCAGGGCTGGGGACTCCACCACCTCCCTGGACAGCCCATTCCAGTGTTTAACAACCCTTTTCAGTGAAGAAATTCTTCCTGATGTCCAATTTGAACCTCCTCTGGAACAGCTTCTTGTCCTGTCACTTGTTGCCTGGGAGAAAAGGCCGACCCCCACCTTGCTACAACCTCCCGTCAGTTTGTCTGAAGACAATTCCTAACTCATTTAATGCCCCAGTTCCAGCACTGGAAGAGCACAAACCATGCTGGAGCAGGCTGGGGTGACCCACCTTTACAGTGCTGTCCACAGCGCCGGAGAAGAGGCGGCCACGGGACACGGCGAGGGCGGTGACGCTGCCCTGGTGCCGCAGCAGCGTCTGGGTGCAGATCATGTTGTCCATGCTCCACACCTGCGGGGACACGGCAGGCGTGAGCCACAACCCGGGAAGGGGGATCTCACGTCACAGGCCCCGAGGCAGGTGCCACACCGAGGGATGGGGATCCCCATCCCTCTTCCCTCGAGGTCCCCCGTGTTGTCACAGATTGCCGGGGCAGACGCCCAGCCCCGCACACGTACCCTGAGCGACCGGTCGTAGGACGCGCTGAAGACTTTGGTTTGATCTGGTGTGGAGATGACAGCGAGGGCATAGACCGTCCCCACGTGCCCTGTCAGCGTGCGGACCTGTTCCTTTGTTTCTATATCCCAGACCTGCGGGGGAAGAGCTGGGCTCGGAGCTGTGCTGGGATGAGGCCACCGCCCTCTCCTCCGAGAGGTGTTTCCACCTCCACACACACTCCAAGGTGGGTGCTGTGCCCCCACGCTCCACGTGTGGCAGGGGGGACAGGCAGGGCCAGGTGCCCATCTCCACGCCCCTCTCCCCCAGCCTCACTGCCAGGAATGCATCCCAGCCCGTTCCTTACGTGGATGAGGTTCTCGTAGGTGCCGCACACGATGTGGTGGTTGGTCACGGCGATGGAGTACACGCTGCCCCCGGACGTCTGCAGCACGTGGACACACTCCAGGTTGCGGATGTCCCAGATCTGATGGAGACACCGGAGCAAAGGCAGGATGAGACCCGTGCAGGAACCCCTCTCCAGGGGCGAGATCCCTTGCAGCCATTCTGCCACGCACTGAGTCAGCCTGGCTCCATGTGTGCCCAGATCACACCTTCAAGGACAAATCTATCCAGCTGGGAATGTTCAGTACTGATGATGAGCAAAGCCCTGCTGTCTTAATTGGCTGCCCAGCTTTGAACATCCAGGCTGAAAATGTTGTGGAGACTGCTCACCCCGTGTGTGACTACACACACACATGCACTCACAACCCACTCCTTGATAGCACTACAACCTGATGCAGACAAATTAACAGGGATTTATTAGCACTGAGGAGGGTAACTTGCAGTTCTGTGTCCCCCAGATGCTGAGGTGAAGTATTCATCAAAACCTGAGCCAGCACAGAGCGTGGAGGGCACTGGGAAGCCTCACAGATTTATGGTAACTCTGCAGCCAGCCAGTGACCTTGCCCTGTTATCAGCAGGAGTGGGAGCACAGATAAGGCTGCAGCAGCCGCAGAGGCGGCACGAGGCGCCAGGGCCGAGGCCCCAGTTTATCCCAGTGAGCCTCCCCAGCAGCCCCCAAGGCCCAGCCTGCAGAGATGCAATCAGCACAGGAGAATCCTGTGTGTCAGCAGTCATCTCACATCCCAGCAGCTGCCTCTGGTCCTGCTCCCCAGGGGAGCAGAGCACAGGGGGGCACAGGGAGAGCCGCTGGGTCCCACCAGTGCCAGGGTCCCACCTTGATGGTCTGGTAGGATCCACTGTAGAGATAGTTCTGGGAAGCCACCAGCGCTCGCACCCAGTGATTGAGACCTGTCAGCTCCTTCTTCAGCTTGAGCTCAGTACCTACAATATCCCAGACCTGTGGAAAGCACAGACAATACACAGAGACATGGAGGAGAATCCCAGTGGGGCTGGGCAGAACATGGCCGGTGCTCCCCACCCATGCCCACCCTGCAAGAGGCCCTCACAGCTTCTGTGGGGATCCTTGTGCCAGCTCTGCTGCCTGCTGGGAATGGCCTGAACCCACTGACTTGCAGATAAAATACAATAACTGCTGAGTCAGCACGTTCCCTGAGGGAGCCAGCCTGGACACTGCATTACTGCTGGCAGAGACCCTTCCCTAGCACAGCCACGGGCTTGAAAACCTAAACCACAGCTGCAGTAAGGAACTGCCCTGAGCTTCCACTCCCAGCCTGTCTCCACAGAGCTCCATTCCCAGTCTCTGGCGTGCAGGGACTGACAGATCTCACTCCCCTCCACTCTGAGCAGCACTCCTGGCCTGCTCAGCTCATCTGGCAGGAAGTGGCTGGGGATGGCAAACCCAAAAGGCCCCATATTCTCCTTCTGCTCAGTCTGGCTGCTCCCCCAGCCCTGAGCTCTCTCCAGAGCCGAACCAGTCCAGGCCCTGGTTAAAGAAAAGAGCACACATCCTCTTACAGATGGACGGGCCCATAAGCTGTCTCACCAGGAGCTGGAAGCAGAACCATGGGAATCCAGCCAAGGCTTTAAAGGGCAGCTTGCAAAGCTGTTCTCTGATTTCTGCATGTTTTAGGTAGAGAATGCAGACTCAAGATCCATTGGAGGCGGTTTCAAAACAGGCAGCCTGAATCCCCAGCCAATTCCAGAGCCCAGACATGATTCCCAATGGTCTTAGCAGGTCTGTTGAGGGTCCAAGGACACACACACTTGGGACTTGCCAGGATACTCCACCTGCAGCCTCAGGTTTACAGAGTTGGAAGAAAAAAAGTGCTTTTGCAGCCAGGTCCCAGAACACCTTTGACTTGAGTGCAGAGTATGGGCTAAACCTTTGCAGTGCTGGCTTCTCTGTGGCTCAGGAGAGCGTAGCAACAAGGTCACCTACAGACCAAAATGCCACTTTCTTCCTGTTTGGACACTTCTGTCTGACAGTTTGTACCCTTGGTCCCACACCAGCCCCAGAGGAGCCCCCTGAGCTGTACCTTGATGGCTTTGAGGGAGCCACTGAAGAGCATGTTGTGTGAGGAGACCAAAGTGCAAACAGGATTGTCGTGTGCTCGGATCGTGTTCACCTTCTGCAGGTTTTGAATATCCCAGACCTGCAAAGGAAAATCACAGACTCACGGAAGGGTTCAGATGGGAAAAGCCCTTTAAGATCATCGAGGCCAACCGTTCCCCCAGCACTGCCAAACCCACTAAGCAAGAGCACCCATGAGGGGCAGGGCAAGTCCTTCGTGCTGAGGCCCTTCTTGACATACAGGTAGGACAGGGCACTCGTCTGAGCCACTGTCCTGGCTGATCAGGACCAACCACCCTGTCCCAGCTCACAGCACCAGCCTCCTGCTCCCCCCACAGGAGCAGGGACTGGGAAATCCAGCCTGCAGGAAACCCCCCAATCCAACCCATGAGTGACTTGGCTGAGGCAGTGGGTACAGCACACACAGGTTATCAGTCCCACACCACTGGCAGCTGAAGAGCCTTCCAGAAGAAGGTCCCTGCTCCCGAGCAGCCTGTGGCTCTCCCATCCCGGCTGCAGAGCGGGGTCAGGGTACTCACAATGATGGTGCAGTCAGCAGAGCCACTGTACAGCTTGTTCCTGGAATGTCACCAGAAGACAAAGGGGGGTCAGAGGAGGACAGTGCCATGTGCAGGTTCCCAGTTTGTCCCCAGGCACTGTCTGGGCCAGGAGCTGCAGTCCCACGGCCTCACTGGGACAAGACTTCACACACCCACCCCGAGAGCGGGGCTCCTGGCTCATGGGAGGCCAGGCTGGACTGGCCCTTGGAGCAGGAGGCCAAGCACCCTGCTGGTGACCAGGGACAAAGCCAGGACACAGGGGACACCACAAAGATGCCGCTTTGTCCATTTTTAAAAAGCAGAGGCAAGATGTGCCTCTGATGCACAATTTTGGCCTGTGCAGGGCAGAGGATGGGAACTGTCAGGGCATGCTCAGGAGCCCCCATGCTCTCCCCCGCTCTCCCCAGGGGCAGATGTCCCTCTCCACTCACCCCTGGATGCAGAGAGCCAGTACAATTCCATCATGACCCTCCAAGGTCTTTTGGCACTTGTATGTGGTACAGGTATCCCACACCTAACAGGAAACACGAGGCAGGAGTTGGGAGCGGGCAGGATGTCAGCAGCGGAAGGAGGAAACAGGCTGTCTGTCACCTGGGCACTGCCTGCCGAGTCCTGGGCACGGATACACTTGTCTGGGAAAGGAAATCTACTGCAAAGGGTCAGGTTGAAGTCAGTGAGACCCAGGACAGCAGCAGGTATCAGCCCTCTGCAGCTCTGTCCTCCTCGGCCCAGGCCAACACAACAAACCAAACCAGAGGAGCAGCTCTCAGGCTCCTGCTTCAGCAATTCTCACCCTGTCCTGGGGCTCCAATGGCACAGCACAGCCTCCTCTGCCACTGCAAAGTTTTCCCCCTGAGCACACTCTGCTCTCTCAAGAGGGAATGTTGTGCCCGGAGCAGCCAGGACAGGGGAGTTTCTTTCCCTAAAGTACAGCAATATCCGTTTTCTTCCACGTGGCTCTAAAACCAAGGAAACTAAACTAAAGCTCTGCTCCTGGCAGGATTAGTCGTAGCAGCCCGTGGGGGTCCCCAGCCCAGCCAGCAGCCACCACAGTGACATTGGGAAGGGCTGTTTAAGCTGCACCAGAGCAGTGCTGTCAGTTTGAGTTACTGCAAACAGGACAAAGGAAAACAAACACGCCATAAAATGGGAAAAGGACACTTTGGATCAGGGACAAATGTTTTGTTCTAAGATGACTTTTTATAACAAAGGAAAATAAAATCAGAAGCTGAAATAGGCTTGAATACCCTAAACACCACATAAAGCAAATCCAGCAGCAGCAGGAATGAGATTCTAATCTGAGCTTTGCAAAAATAACTCTTGACTCTCAATTTCACTATCAAGTAATGTTTCCTCCCAGAGAATTTTGCCCAACTATAATCACAAAGAATCATTTAAGATTCTTTGGGAGAAAGTTTAAGAAGTGACATTCCCCCCCCCAAACTGAATTCAGTGACAGTGACAGTGCAGAAGGTGCACGGAACAGACAAGCTCTTACCTTAATGGTTTTGTCTGAGGAGCCACTGAAGAGCAAGTCTCCTATGGAGTACACACACAAACACCACACAGGGCCCTGGTGGCCCACAAAGGTCCCCTTGCACTTGAAGATCTGCTGAGGATCATAGGCTGCAGAAAGGAGAGAGCAGGTGAGAGGTGGGAGGACAGTGCTGTTCCTTTGCACATCTGTAAACACTGCCCAAAAGGGCTCCATGGGCCACCACCCACACCCAGCCCCAGGGGAGGAAGCCCACAGGGATACTCACATCCAAGGATGCCCATGTTGAGCCGAGCATTGATGTGGGAGAGCTCATCCTGAAAAACAGAACAAGCCATGTGAGCTTTCCACAAGCAGGGAGAAGGGTACAGTGTCCCTGGCAAGTGTAAAAGGCCCAGGCTTTGGAGCAGAGGGTTCTTCCCTTGCTGCAGGGCTCCTTTCCTCTGTTAACACATTCCCAGAGCAACAACAGGCCGAGAAAAGGCAGCAGAGCCAGTTCCAGCAGCAGCCCAGATGCAGTGACCAGCACGTGCTCCCCAGGCTGCCTCTGACTCAAACCCTTCCCCAGACCTCGACTGCAGTACAGGCAAACCAAACCTGGTGTGAGCAGAGCCAGCAAGCAGGGAGGACCCCAGAGCCTCTCCCACTGCAGGACAAGCCTAGCTAGGAGCTGAGCCAGCTAACTCCATGCAATCCCTGCTCCATCCCAGGGCCCCTCCTCACATTCAGCATGGAGGCGTCCCTGCGGAATTCCATCAGGTCCTCGCTCAGCTTGCTCTGGTTCTCGTCCAGAACATCTACAAGAGAAGGACAGGCCCACAGTCACTGCAGAGCAACTGAGGGCATCCCAGGGAACAGGCAGAGGACACCCAACTGCCACCCAACCTCTGAACACGGAGGGAGGACACACTGCTGCTATTGGCTGGGAAAGCAGGAGGGTGTCTGCTCCTCAAATGGAAATTGTACCTGGATGCTAAGAACCAGCAAATCTGGGAGCACAACAGGGGTGTCTGAGAGCCCTGCTCACTCCACGATAGCTGCACTGTTGGCTATTTGACCTGCTGATTTTTATAGGGGCCTGTGCCCATGGACTGCACAGGAAAAAGTCATAGGAGAAAGGTGGCAGCTGCCTGTAGACATTACTAGGACTTGCCACGTGACCAGTGAGTGCAGGATTAGGTCCCAGGATGTTCAGGCAGCAAAGTCAATGGAACCCCTATTTGTCCCTCTGCAAGGAATATCTGAACCTCCTGAAACCTGTTCAGCACCAGTTTTAAACATGGAATGAGTCCTGTAATGCATCATCCAAACAAAGAGCTTCCCTGTCCCTACAGCTCTGACCAGAGAGCTCGTCCAGAGCAGACTCACCAAACTTCAGCTCCAGGTTCTTCTCCAGCTGGTCGATTTTCTCAGAGAGCTTCCCCAGCATGGAGCGCAGGAAGGCGATCTCCTGGTCCTTCTGGGCCATTGCCACCTGCATCTCATGGAAGCGATCGTCTGTCTGCTGCAGGAACTCCTTCAGACCCTCGAACTTGCACGTCTCCAGGTGGGTCTCATAAGTGTCTTGGTTTCCTATGAATGTACACCTGAAGGGAAGGCAGATGCTGGCTGGAGCAGGGCTCCCAGGGAGACTCCTTGCTCAGCTGGCTCCTCACTGGAGCTCCAAGGCCCGTGTGGCTCCCAAGCTGTCCTGCTCTTCCCACCAGCAGCAGGGCTACTGTGATTCATTATCCTTCAAAGGATGGATTCAATAATTTTGGATGTCTTTTCCAATCTTAATGACCCCATGATCCTGCTGGGTGCAGGCAACTGCAGGGCAACATGGAGGCCAAGCAGCTCCTGTTCTTCTAGCCAGAGCATTGGCCCCAAACCAGACTGTCAGTCTGGGTAGTTGCAAGGAAAAGCAGATCTTGGGCAAGAGACAGTGTGGTGTCAGTTTATGTGCTCACCAGGAGCACCAAAATCAGTGGAAAAAACTGGAGCTGACCTCAGCAGATGCTGACTTGGGCCTGCAGCATGGCAGGGAGTCAGGGATGCTCTGCCAGGACTTGTCTTACCCTGCCTCTGCCAAGACATGTCTAAGGATCATACAATCACAGAGCTGTTGAGGTTGGAAAAGGCCTCTAAGACCATCGAGTCCAACCGTTCCCCCAGCACTGCCAAGCCCATCACTAACCCATGTCCTCAAATGCAACATTGGCTTTTAAGTCTCTCCAGGGATGGTGACTCCACCACTGCCCTGAGTGGTGGGCTGGACAACCCTTTGTGTGAACCCTCCTCCTGCAGTAACCCCAAGCAGGGAACCCCCAGCCCAAGCTGTCCCCCCGCTCTGGTGACAGTGAACCCTCTGGGGCAGATCAGCACTTCCCTCGCCCTGGTTGGCAAGACACTGCCACGGTGCTTGAATTACTCTTGTAATCCTCCTCCCTTCATGCTCTGACTCTCCTCCAGCTGTTCTTCTGCCTTCTCACACCTCACCTTCCTCCTGGGCTCACACCTGGGCACCAGGACCTGCCTGTTCCCACCAGGAGAGGGGTTCAGAGGTTGCCTCCTGCAACCCCTGCAAACCCTCAGCTCGGCCTCAGGCTGAGCACAGCACTGGGGAGAGCTGCTCGGAGTCCTTGGGGCCACCCCAAGGCTGCAGTGACCAAAAAGCAGCTCAGAAGTTACCCCACTCAAAAGCATCAGGTCCTTACCCGTACTTGGAGTGGGGACACTTGATGTGCTCGCACTCCTTGAGGTGTGCCTCCAGGTTCATTTTGAGCAGAGGAGGGCAGCTGGGGTTGTTGGGGCAGCGCACGGGCCGGTAATCACAGCTGCTCTCATGGTCCCTGCCCATGGAGAGAAGCAAAGGGAGGGAAAATCAGCAATGAGCAAAAATTAATGGAAGCAACACAGGTTGTCAGGAAAGGAGCAAACCAGCCCTGTAAGGCTGTCAGGTCCAAAGCCTCCTGCTCTAAGACTGCAATTCTAGCTTTTAATTCTCATTTGACCAGAAAATTGAGAGTAATAACAGGCTACGTTTACACAGGGCATATCTACTTCTGCAGCTGAAGGGCTGAGCCTTCAGGCACCCACAAACAACAGCTTTCCACAAGCAGGGAAAGCTTGTGGAAATCCCTATCAGTCCAATCCCTATCAGCCAGGTGATAGGGAAAACAGGGAATGCATTTAGGAGGGGGAGGGAGACAGATTTCAGATTCTCAGGATATAACTAGGATAATTACTCTCACAAAAAGAATACCAAGGTCTCTCCTTGACCATACCACAGTGTTTCACCCCAGAAGTGAGGGGGCTGCTCTCACAGCGTCCCTGTCCCAGTGCTGGCACTCAGGTAAGCTGGGAGCAGAGAACAGCATCCTTCCCCTGAGACAACCCATGCACCACCATCCCAAGAGTGATTTATCCCCTCAACCCCCCTGCCCACTCCCACTCCCGGCAGCGCTGGCAGGAGCGGCGCGGCCCCGGAGCCGCAGGGCAGCTCAGGTGTGGCAGGCTGGCACAGCCCTTTCCCTGAAGAGGCTGGAACAGGGCACTTACTTCCTGGCACTCAGCTTGATGGTGAAGGGGCACCCTCGGGGGTCCACCTCGAAGGCGGTGGGCTTGCTGCTGGCCGCGGCTCGGCACCCGTACTTGCAGTGGATGAAGAGCTCCCCGATCTGCTCCGCCACCGCGATGTTGTTCACCACCACGGTCAGTTTGGCATTGTCCACGGGGCACTTCTCTGCCAGGGAGGGACAGAAAACACAGTCAGCAAGGATTAAAGACAGTGCAGGAGCATTTCCAGGAGCCTCTGCGTGGAGATTTTATTCTTTTGCCTTCCCTGGCCAAGTCAGCCAAGTCCCAGGTGGGTGGCCGTGGAATGAGCCATGAATATTACACAAGGTCTGTGAGCCACTATCTTTAGTTAGTCTTGGGGCTTGGAAAAGTTACAGTTTTTGTTAAATCATGATAATTTGAGCAAGCTACCAATGAAGGATGGCCACACTGGGACAGGCTCCCCAGGGAAGTGGTCATAGCACCAAGCCTGAGTTCAAGGAGCATTTGGATGATGCCCTCAGGCACATGGGGGGATTGCTGGGGTGTCCTGTGCAGGGTCAGGAGCTGGACTCAACGATCCTGATGGGTCTCTTCCAGCTGACCATATTCTATAATTCCAATTCAGACTACCTTGTGCCTGGTGAAGTGTGAGTGCTTATAGGCAGAAGCCCCATCCATAACGTGCTCTCTCACCCAGGCCTGGGCTCAGCTCCAGCTCCCAGCAGCACCATGGGCCAGCAATCACAGAATCATTTAGGTTGGAAAAATCCTCCAAGACTAATGACTTCATGCTTTGACCGATGTCCACCTTGTCACCCAGCCCAGAGCAGTGAGTGCCACGTCCAGTCGTTCCTTGGACACCTCCGGGGTGGTGACTCCACCACTTCCCTGGGCAGACCCTTCCAAGGCCTGACCACCTTTTCCAGCAAGAAATTCTTCCTGATGTCCAACCTGAACCTCTCCTGGCACAGCTTGAGGCCATTTCCTCTTGTCCCATCACTTGTTACCGGGGACAAGAGGCCAACTCACATTTGGCTACGACAGAGGCAGAAACACGAGCTTGGAGGGCAGGAGCAAAGCTGAGCAACTTGGGATTGCAACTGCAAAGCCTTTTGCTACAGAACATGTGGGTTGGGACAGATATAGCAAAGCACAGTGAGGGGATTATCATGCAAAGCAGAGGGACCCTCACATGTGGAAGGTGAAAATTGTAAGGCAGAAAGAGCTGCTTTTCTGCAGAACTTGCCCCTCCTGGGCTCATTGTGCTGGTAATGCCAACGGCTTGGCTTTGTGCTGAACAACAACTTGCCAAGAGGGGCACAGGCTTGTGCCAAAAAAAGTCTTTTTTGCAGTGCAGAGTCCAATCCAAGTGGGAGCTGGTTATCCCAGGCCAGCAGCCAGAGGCTTGGGCTCCCTCAGGGTTCTGGAAGAGCTGGGTGAGCTAAAGCAGCTCTGTGGGGCACAACCAGGGGCCAGAACGTTGGCACTGAGGGGCTGGGGGAGGAGTGGTTGGTTGGGCTCTGCCAAACACAGCCCCCCTGTTCCTTAGCCAGGCAGCCACAGAAAGCTTTCTGTCTGAAATCAGTGGGTCAGCTCTGGGCGAGACGTGTATTATCCTGGGATTATCCATGGCATACTCCACGATTTGAGAACATCCTGTGCCCAAGAGCTGGGCCCAGCCCTCCCTCCAGTGCCCAAGCTCCAGTGTGTTCCATGGGAGCTACACGGCCCCCGAGCCCCAGCCCCTCACCGCTGCAGTGGCAGATCTGACTGACAGCTTGTTTTAAGCCCTTTGAATATTTTTCTGCAGGTTTCTTTTTAAGTGAAAGCAAACAAACCAGAAAATAACAGTGTTTTGGCTGCATCACACAAGAGCAGTTCTGTACTCACCAGATGTTAAGGCACATCTTCTACAAAACGTGTGCTGTGGAGACAGAGAGGAACAGCAGCGTCAGCGTAAAACGAGAGCAGGCTAATTATTCCCTGTGGACAATGATGGGAAAGGTGGAAGATACCCAAGCCTGTGGCTCAGGGGCCTCGGCAGCTGTTCTGCCTGCTTTAGCTCAGCACCACAGGGCAAAGCCCAGCTGCTTGCTCAGGGTGCAGCACAGGTCCTGCTCCTGAGAGTATTAAACTTTGATGTTCTGCCCCGTTCAGGATCAGGCCATGATTGTGGTGACAGCCAAAGCCACGGGCATGTTCTGCTACACTCTGATATTCACAGAATCACAGAATGGTTTGGGTTGGGAGGGACCTAAAGATCATCCTGCTCCAACCCCCTGCCATGGACAAGGACACCTTCCACTAGACCAGGTAGCTCAGGGCTCCGTCCTGCCTACTCTTGAACTTGTCCAAGTCCTTCCTACCCTCTGCATGGGGTTTCCCTACTTCACCTTCCACTTTAGCCCATATTATGCCTCTCACAACCCTGAGAAGTCCTCAAGGGAAGGAGCAAGGGGAAGACTGGCCTCTCCCTGTCTTTGCCCAGTCAACCCATTACACATATGCCCCTGAAACTCTTCTAAGGCAGCTGGAGCTGCCCTGTCCTGCTGCCAGGAAGATGGAACAGCTGGTTTGTAAGTCCATTAAATGCTCTGTAAATTGTAGCACTTTAAATAGCTCCCTCTCTCTGTTCTTGCAGTTTAACTTGATGAAGTAACAAACACAATCTGCCACACTCACGAATATAAAGGCTGCAGCATTTCACTGCTCCTGACCTTGCCCCGTGGGCTCCCTGGAGCCTCCTCAGCCACATTCCCCTGCCACAGGGCCAGCGCCCGGCAGCGGCTGCGAGTCCCTCCCCAGAGCTGTTATCTGTTATCTGCTGCCCTGCTCCTTTTCCTGCCCGGCACAGCTGCACGGAGCGCCCTCCAGAGCTGCCAGACCAGGACTGCACACCAAGCCAGGCTGCTTCCTGCACTGGGTTTTTTTCCACGTTATCCAGTGCATTTCAGAGTCTCTGTGAAGAGCTGCTTTCTGAAATGGTGCAGCGAAACTGCACCAATTTCCAGCACTTTTGGGGAACAGCACCCTCACTGCAATAAACAATCCGGAGCTGTTGTTGCTACAGCCCCATCCTGGTAATCAGAAGCACATCAGAAGCATTAGAGAGCCCATCTCGAAGCCATCTTTCTTCACAAGTAGCACAGAAGCAGGAATAATTTACAGCTTCTATTAAATCCTACTAAAATGGAATCCAGAAGAATATTCATAATGCTCTGTGCCTTTCATTTGAGGATTTCAAATCCCTTTGCAAGCATTAACTACACGAAGCTTCAAGCCATTTTTGTTTTATAAGCAACACTTCCCTCCCAGCTGAGGAGCAGCCATTGCTGGGGTGCCCTAGAGCTCCCTGCAGAGCCCTTCAGGACAGACTGAACATGGCCAGGACAGGGCAGCTCTCCTGGGAAAAGCCATCCAACTTTAGGCAAGCGCCAGGATTGCTGGACAGTCAGTGGGGACAGTCAGGGCTTGGCTCTGGCTCACACAGGACACGCTGGTGATTTGAAGAGCTCTGCCTTACCCCACAGGTTGTGATGACTGGATCCTTGAACACACTGCAGCACAGCTGGCAGCACAGCTTCACAGAGGGCTGCTCAGCAAACACCAGGGGCTCCTGCAGGGACAGAAAGGGACAAAGACAGCACAAGGATTAGTCCAAACACAAGAGCCTTCCTCTGCAGAAGGAACAAAATACTCCTCAGAGGTGAGTCTCAGGGAGCCTGGGGCACTGGGCACACCGGGGGGTTCAGTGTCTCAACCAAACAATCTGTCTGGATCTGCTGAGTTCCAGTAAGAGGCGGGGGAAGAACAAACTTGGGAGTGGCTGGAGACCCTCAGCTCATCACAAACTGGGGGCCACCAGCATCTGGCAGGATCAGGACCTGACAGCAAACTGCTCAGACCAACTTCTCTGTCAGTGACTCAAGTCACCAGACCTGTGTGAGCTGCACTGGCTGAGACTTTGTGCTTGGTTGGACTGAACAGAGAGTTGTCAAAAATGTACTAAGCCTGGAGTTTGAAAGCAATTATAGAGCAGCCTGCCCTTTTGTATTTTTGAAACATCCTGGAGGAAGGGCTCTTTCATTCCCTTATGAAGCAGAAACAACATTGTTTCTGCTGCAATGGACCCATCTCTCCAGTTTTGTTTACCAACTACGACTGCCAGCACGGGGCTCTGAGCACGTCCTCCTGGAGCAGCATGGCTCCCCAGGACCCTGAGCATGATCTCCTGGAGCAGCACAGCTCTCCATGCCATGCCAGAGCAGGGCTTCACATTTCAGAGCATTTCAAATCAATCTCTGCAGCTCAGTCTGTCTTTTCATCCTATACTGCTCTCAGAAATGCAAACACAACCCCCTGGGTTCCTAAATATGAAACACACTTTCATCCCAGATCAGTGGCAAAACACCACCTGACCTTTTATTCATCCAGTCTGGGGTTAGTTACTGGGTCACAAGCTAAGCTCAGCTTAAAAGTATCCTCCCCTAACATGCAGACAACTCCTTGCACTCTCCAGGGGCTTACAATCCAGTCAGTGGGGTGCCACACATCCCTGAATGTGGGATAGGGCTCCAAATCCATAGGGAATTGTATTTCTCTAGCTGCCTGGGGCCAGACCACCAGCCTGAGCCTTGCAACCCCCACTGCTCTGCAGCAGAGCCAGGGAATCACACAGGACTTTGCAAAGATTTACAGTTTATCTGGGAAGCAGAAAAGCCTCACCATTGTCCTTGCTCCACAGACAGGGAAATGGCTCAGAAGGAAGCAAAGCCAGTGGTGGAAACAAAGTTAAAGCCGGAGTCCTGACAGCCAGGCACCACAAAAAACCTGTCTGTGACAGCTCTGTGTTCTCACAAGAGTCCACTAAGTTACTCTTTTGTCACTGCACTTCCTAATACTGCTCCTTCAGACAATCCCAAATACCTACTGGCTCCTCCTCTTCCTCATGGAGTGAGAACGTCGAGCGCAAGGACATGTTGGACTCGGAGTGCAATGAACGGACGGAGATGGCCGAGTCAGAGCGGCGTGGGGTGCTGATCGGGGGCTTCAAAGAGATAAAACCAGCTCTGGTTAGTCCAAGTAATTCCCAAACTCTGTGTGAACACTTCAAGTTCAGTCCTCTCCCTCCCAAAACTACGCTGCTCCACTCCAAGCTGCACTGAGCGGCCCTGCTGCTGTGTGCCCTTCCGTGCACTGTGCTCAGAGACAGGATTAAGGTTTAACTTCCTAAACCGGGCTGACATCTAAATTCCAAGCACGTCCCTTTCTCCAAGGTGCATTCGCTGTGCACTTACCGTGGGCACCCGCAGAGCAATGGTCTGGAAGAATTAATCCTTCATGGAAAGCTCTGTAAATCTCCCCCAGAGACTGCTCCGGCTCCTGCCCTGTCTCCAATCTCTGCAGCAGCACTTGTTGTTGCACTCGCTATCTAACTTCTGCCAAATTTCTTTGCGTAAGTGTGGAGACTTCCTTCTATTGAATTCCCTCACAGCCCGGCTCTGCCGCTTCCTGCTCGGGAGGGGAGAGCGGAGCGGACACCGCGCACCGACCAACGACAATCCCCCTGGCTGCAGCGGCCTTGGGATTGGCTTTGAGGGAATGCTGCCTCTGGAATATTAACCAGCAGTGTATCTCTGAGGGGGGAATATCAACCAGCAGCACGCAGCCAAGATGAAACTTGGCGTCAAAGCAAAACTGGACACTCTTCAGATCATGAAGTGTCTGGATTTGGGGGTCCCAAATCCACCTGGGAGTGCAGCCAGGGCTGGGTTACTTGAGAAGAGATGCTCCTGGTAGACTGGGAAGGGTGCAGAGGGAAGGAATAAAGGTAGTCAAGGAGCAGAATGGATGTTTTGACAAAGAAATGGGAGAATGAAGCTGTAAGCTTCTGACACCTGGCACCGGGAGGTGACCGATGGCACCTGCACGTGTCACCTCTACATGGCTTGGATGTAGCTATGTCAGCCACCAACTCTGAGCAGTGCTGGCTGGAAGCAGCTCTGGAGATCACTGGCTGGAATTGAGACTCTCCCTGACCCTGGAGGCCAGCCCTGGCACTGCCCAGCTGGAACAGGGGAAGCTGCACGGACCAGACTCTGCTGCCCCAGGTTCCTGTGCAGCACCTTGGGAGCGAAACACTTTCCCTCGTATTCCATCTGAACCTTGTGAGCTGCAATCTGTGCGTGTACCCTGGGTCAAAGGGGGCAACATCAGACTCAGGGACGGACAAAGGCAATGTAGGAGGGCAGGGGGGCAGTCAGGAAATCCAGCAAAGAAAGCTGTAGGATGAGGTTCAGAGGCTGCAATCTGAGTGCAGCCTGGCTGGGCTGCAGAAGAGGAGCAGATCAGGATCCTGCTGGTTCCTCTGCTGCTTCAGTTTTATGATCCTGCACTCCCAGGAGCTCAGAACTGCTGCATCTGCTCAGAAGCCAAAGCATAAAGCTTTTTCTTAAAGACAGCATATTTATTGGCTAAACAGGTAAACCTTGAGGAGGAAGGGTTATAATGAGTAAATCAATTTTATGTGTATCCATTCAGCTTATTATTTTCCTCCACTAGTAACAGAAGTTATTAAAATAACAAGAATGACTGTGCATTGTTCCCACTCTGGAGGGGACACGGAGTGGAGGGCAGCACAGGCAGGCTCTGCAGGGAGGCAGGTTTATCACAAGAAGCATCCTGGGTGGTCAGCAATGGAGAGGGGGACTGCTCCCAAAAACATTTCCAGGAGATAGAGGTGTGAGACACAGACTTTCAAGGCTTCTGTAACACTGTGGGCTCAGAGCCCTGTGTCCTGGTTGGGGTAATGTTGGTGTTAACTACACAGGGGACAAATGAATGTGCTGAGAAAGCTCCCTCATTCCCTTGGCTGCAGAGACAATGTGGAATGGCAGAGGATGTGCTGGCATTTACAGACCCTCTGGGTCTCTTCAGCCTTGCTTCTTGCCAAGCAAACAAGGACAAGACTTGAGAGACCTTATTTCTGCACTGAACATCAGGTGCATCTTCAAACAGCCCAAGGATGGAGCTCCCAAATCTTCTGATGGAAGATGGATAGTTTTTGGCTGGTAATTCAGTCCAGCCTCCAGTTCAGAGGTGAAGTTCCCTGTAAACAACAGACTTTGGACAGCCAGGCAGCCTTCACCCACTAGTATCTATTTGTGCCAATATTCAGCTGTAACCTTTAGCTGCAGTTCCCATCACCTCAGCTACAAGTGCAGGCTCCACGTGAAGGCTCCAGCAGAGTCCTCATGGGGACCTGTGGCACTATTTTCATGGAAAGCTGACAGCAGCTGCTCAGTAATCCCTGCCTTGCACACGGAACACACTGCTCTGCTTTGGGTTTCATTAACAGAAGCTTTAAAAAGAAAGAAAAAGGGGTGGTGGAGGTCACAGAAGGGCTCTGACGCGTCTCCAGCTGTCTCACTGATGGCTGACAAGCCCTTGGCAGCTTCTGGAGGAGGGAAAACTCAGTGATGAGGAAGGGAAATCCCAGATTATTTCTTGACAAAGCAAATGAAGCTTCCTAAAAGGGTTAGTGAGTCTGTCTGGAGCGGCAGGCAGAGCAGGACTGGGGTGGTTCCGGATTGTCAGCACCTCATGCTGTTTCCTGAACCACTCATTAATTCCCCTGCTATTTTTGCTTAAGAACATTTAGCACTCCGGGCAAGGTGGGCTGAGACTGCCCAAGAGGATTGGGGCTGGATCCCAGGAGAGATCTCCCCCATTTTTGGCTGCACACCTTAGTTCGTGACACCAGGGTTTTCAAAGGAGCTTTTCCACCAGACCTGGCTAAATGAAGTATCCCCAGCATCCCCTCCTCTGCAAAACTCCTCCCCTCTGCCCTGTGAGAACTGCCCAGCTCGTGAGAAGGGCACAGTGAGCCCAGCACTGAGCCCACAGGGGTCGTGCTCACAGCCAAGGGTGGCCTGGAGCAGTGGCCCAGCTCCGTGGGGTCAGTGAGGGGATGGAGAGCTGCACTTGCCAAGGACACCAGGCAAATGTTCAAAGGACTTGTTAGGAAAAAAAACAAACAAAAAACCCCATGGGCTCACATAAAACACAGCAAGATGTCTGAGCAACAGAAGGAACTTTATAGGATGCTGACAATAAAGCTCTTTGCAATCTGGTGTCAAATTTATTTTCAGAAGTGTTGTAGCTCCATATTGTTGCTGACCCCAGTCTGTCAGGGCATAACTCCAGCAGCAGGGATCCCATTTACCTCTAGCTTGGAAGCTGGGTCTTGTAACCTGACTAAGTCTACAAGTACTTTATTTGAAGTTTACTACCAACATGCTTAAATCTAAACAGAGCTCATGGCTGTGAGACGTGGTTGGAGCACCAGGGACAGGAGAAGGTCCAGGCCTCAGAGCTGTCCATCCTTTCCCTGAGGTTTGCTTTGCTGTTGCTGTTCCTGATTTAATTGATTTAGCTGATTTAATTTCTCTCTAAGCAGCTAACCCTGAGGCCTGTTGAATCACTAAATTCCCCAAAAACATCTTACTCAGAAGTGAGTAAGAAAGCTGGATGCAAAATTGGGAAGTTCTTTTCCGCAAAAGTATTGGGAGACACGGGAATGGTTTGTGTGAGAAGCCCCCAGGAGCCCAGCACAGTCTGTAGTGTCCAACATCCCACTCTGCAGGTTCCAAACCCGCTCCCTGTGGCCAGAAGCCCCATCTGGAGGTGGGAATAGGAATGGATTCTACGGCCTCAACTGCAGAGCCAGCTGGGATCCATCCAACAGGCCCTGACCAGACTGCCTGGCCTCAGTCACAGCCCAGACATCCCTGGCTGTGCCTGTTTCCTCCTGAGCACCTGCTCTCCCAGAGCCAGGTACACACACAGGTCTGTGGCATTTGTACTTCCCAGGCTTTGAAACCACATAACCATTTCAAGCAGTGTGAAAATGAGCACCAGCAGCACCAGCTTAAAGCCCCAGGTCAGAATCAGCTGCTTCCCCACGGCACCAACCACAGGAGCAGCCAGGAATGCTGAGGCTGGTCCTGCCCCCGGTGCAGGAATCTCCCTTGGATATAACAGTGCACAGGAATGATGAGGGAGGCAGAGGACTCCAGAGGAACACCAGACATCTCTCATCTCTCAGCTAAGCCAGTCAGGAGGGCCCTGGCAACACCTACCATGCCATCGTCCTCATCCCGTGGGGAATAGGTGAGCGTGCTGGAGGAGGACGGGGTCCGGCGGTGCTGCTTAAAAGTGTTGGTCCCGTCAGCTTTGAAGGGAATCAAAGAAAGAAAAACAAGCATTTAGGCTCCTCAGAAACATTCCCAAACTATGGGTCAGCCTCTGTAGCTGTAAGTGTTCCTTAGAAAAGGAAAAGACTCGGGATTCTCCAACTCCAGTTTGTGACTGGACATATCAGGTAGAACAACCCTGATCTCTGAGAGCTTGCCCAGAAAAGAGCACAGGTTATATTCTGTCAGGTTCACAGGGTAAAAACACTATTAAAAGGAAACTTTATACTCCCACATATCTCAGTCACCAACAAAAACTGCTTGGATCCAGGAAGGTCTGGATACTCTTGCAGCACAAGGGAGGCATGGTAAATTAAATATGAGATATTTGTATAGAGATTGTGTTACTGACTCGTGTAAAAGTTTGAATGTAAATATTCTGGAGTCCAAAACCACCTAGAGTCCAAGACAAATGTAATCCAAACATCTTCCTCAGGCACATGTTAATTTTCTTATCTAAATCAGTGTCAAGTCTTCTTGTTTCTACTAAAGGAAGGATATTTTTATTCCAAAATAAAAACAGACCTCTTCCTACATTCACCCCACCTGTCAGGCCTCAGGCTTCCCTCACCTGCTGAGCTTTGAGGAACAAGGCACAGGAATTCTAAATAAGTAGAGGCATTTGCATCCTCTCCTGTCTGAGCTAAAAATGGCCATGGGGGTTTCACCAAAGCTCCAGAGTGACTCACAGTCAGGCACAAGAGTGAAGATGGAATTTGCAGTGCTGGTGATGATTGTCACAGGGATCAGTAAGATTTGGTGCTGAAATCAGTATCAAACCCTGTTGTACTATCCCAATTTCAACAGGAGCTTCCCAGTGGTGCTGCTCAGTTTGCCTAAGGGGAGACAATTCCTGTGCCTTCTCATTTCCTTCATGTCTGGACACTGGGGTTGCAAAGCACTAAAACCAGCCCCTGGCTAATGAGCACAGTGATTCTCCCAACAGCTTTATGGTTTGCAGAAAACAACAACAACCCTGGAATCACCCACAGTGCTTTGGTGAGATGCTCCAAGCATGAGATACTCACGCTTTGTGATGGTGGTCACAGCAGAGTAGGCTGGTCCAAAAGTTGTTTCCATTCTCGTCTGAAATATCGAGAAAATGAAGGTCAGGGCATATAAAGGCTTCAGATCTTCCCTGAACCGGTGAAAAAATGTACATACATGTTCCTAACTTTTATCTGTGAATGCTGAGAATCTTAAGAGGCAAGGAAACACCATATTTCAGAAGGCATCTAGTCCCTCTGCTCTGCCACCAGCAGTGACCTTACCCCGTTAGTGTTTTCTGAAGGAGTGATGTTTGTTGTGCCACTGGAGAATCGATTGTAGCGAGCGTTCTTGTTTGAGCTCATAATCTAGGCCAGCATCTGTTAGTCATGGGAAGCTTGCTCTGGGGAAGAAGGGAGACAGAAAGGGAATTAGGTTCATTGTATGTATTTTCCTGGGCTCAGAGAACACTCTCCTGCAGCACTAAGTCCAAGTGTTTACCTAAACTCACTTAAACCTGGATTTTCAGGAGGAAGAGGCAAGGACTAAGTCAGATTCCTTTGAATCATTCCTGGATGAGAGTTCAGCATTTTCTAAAAATATTATCTTTTAAAAAGGGGCTCATTTCTCTTTTTCCACTGTTTACACAGATTTTCACTAAGCTCAAGTTTGCAAAGTCAAGAATTCCACAACAATAACCTGCTTAAACACCTGGAGTTTGCTTTCTTTAACCTCAGCTGGAACTCGATGGCGCTTCAGGGCACAATCATGCTGTTATCCCAGTGGATCTGACAAGATGCTCTCAGTCTCCTTCGGAGCCAGGTACCCTTAGGAAGGAGCTGCACCTTCTCTGCCATCACATGGAGGCACTTCTGGCTCAAGCAGGAGTTTCCCTGAGAGAAGCCAAGGGCTCAGCTGGGCACTGAGCTCTCCTCCCAGGTTCCATCCCTGCAGCTAGCAGGTTCTGCTTGCACTCCCAGGCTGTCCCAGCCTGCCCAAGGGGCCCTGTGCTCTGGGAATAAGCTGCTCCAGAAGAATCCTGACGAAGAGACCCCTTTCTGTCCAAGGTAAGTCTTGGTATTTTCACTGCCAGCAGCAGAGTCCAGGGGCTAAACAGACACACACCTGCAGTGAGGACAGACAGGCCAAAAAGGGTTTACTGAGACAAAAAAAATCCCTTTCTGCAGGACAAGAGTCTTGTAAGGAACACCCCACAGGTGTCCCCAACGCAGAGCTCCTGGTCCTGTGAGATGGCTCTGCTCCAGCCAGGCTTCCACACTCCTGCTGCTCCCACTGCCAGCTGCTGGGAGGTGAAATCTCTCAGGGGTTTCCAGCAGTTGGTTTTCCCTGGTCTGGAGGTGACAAGTCCTAAATCTCCAAGCTCCTTACAGAACCACCACCGTGATTTCTCCACTTTACAGAAAGGGAAACTGAGGCTCAAAGAGAGACAGGGTCCCGCCATGTAGCTGTGACTGGGGACTTGTCCAGGGATTCCCACCTCCCTGGAGAGCCCTGGCACAAGGCTGCCTGCACACGGGGCTGGGCACACCCTGCACCTGCATTTTAAACACTGCAAAGGTGACACTCGAGCTGTCCTTGACCAAGGCTCTGCTCAGGGCCTGACACAGCACTTCCTGGTGTTCCCTGCAGCTCTGGATCCAACAGCTGTCAGGCAGCCAGAAACAGCAGCAGCAGAATCCAGGGAATTGCTACTCAGGACTAAATTCTCAGAAAAAGCTACAGTCTAAAACAAAAAAAAAATCCCACAAAAATTCCAATGAAAAACCAAACAAACAGAAACTCCGAAGCCAAACCCAAAACCATCTTAAAACCAGGGATCTGGATAATGTTTTCCACACATGTGACAGCACTGTCCTGGCTCTTTGCAAATGCCAGATCCCTGAGGAGATGCTGAGCAGAGTTGCTGGAGCTGTCTCAAAACCAGCAGGACTGAAGCAGTGTTGTGCTGCTGCATCAGGGAGACCTGCCGAGTTTAAAGCTGGGCTCCAGCAAGCCAGAAGTTTGGCTGTGGCCATCAGATCCTTTTATTCCTGTCAGTGTTCCTTAGGGCACAGAGATTAGAGGGAACTGGGAGGGTGGGTGGTGGGAGAGGGCAGGCAAATTTTTTGGGTAACACTGGCTGTGGCCCCATGAGGTCTGAACCCCACCCAGCCTCTCACCCTCCAGCAGCCTTGGACCAAGCCCTGGAGCTTCCTCCCAGCAAAAATTCACCTCTTCTGCACAGCATTTCTGGACTACAAAGCCTGAAGATCAAAGAGTCAAAAAGGTGTCCAGCTGGGGTCTCCAGATGATGTAGTGCTTATAAATAAAGCAAAGCCAAGTACTTCCAGGAGTGATGGCATAAACTGCCACATTTCCTGGGGTCTCATGTTTCAAGGCTGCATTATCTCATCCTTAATCATGGCCTGCATGTATCCCTGAATTTCCCCTCTCCATAGGTTCCCCATGTGTAACAATGCAGCTAAGCTCTGGTCATTTCCACTAAGGTAGAAATAGAGGGACTCACTTTTCAGGGATATGAATCCATGATTCCTTCTTCAGAGAACCTCAGCAATGTCTACCCAATGACCCTTTATCCTGCACTGCTCAAAGCCAAGAGCAGGGATATGCTCCCACCTCACCATTCGTGTCAGCGTTAAGGGAACCTCGCATATAAAATATTCCTATTGGGTTTTAGGGCAAACAATCATTCCCAGATGGAAAGGGAGGAAGCCCATCCTAATGGTGGATTGTGGGCTGTCTGGAGACTCCTACAGAAGCTTCATTCTCATTTTCAGGGTATGTATCACCTTCAGGTGTAACAGATGGAGCGATGGGAAAGCACTTGGAGACAGGGAAAACCAAAAATGGGGACAACCAACAGCTTGAGGAGTTCTGGAATATCCTTAAACGTTGGATCAGATGTGCAACCAACAGTGACTGCAGGCACCTGAGCCACTACAATGACCCCTACAGCACCTGCCTGGGAACTTCCCAGGGATAACCCACAGGCCATGGAAAAGTGTCCTGGAGAGGCACTAAGGAAGCATCTCCAGTCTCACCCTGCCCCAAAATCACACTCGAACAGATGCAACAGAGCTTGGATAAATCCAAAGTGAGGATGAGAACGGGGATTTTCCACTCACTGTCCATAAGCATGACCTGTGCTCTGCAGCTTGGCTGAGCAACCTACCTGCAAGTAGCAGCAGGGACCTGCTCTGTCTGCTCTGAACAGAGAGCAGAGGAACATGAGCAATGGGAAAAATGCTGAGTGGAATATCAGCCAGGCTGCAGAACACCAGCAGCCACAGGAATATCTGATTTCAGCCCAAATCTCTGCACCCACCAAAGGCAGGAGCATTTCAGCAGAGCAGACACCTCCCAGAGCACTGTCGGACAGCTCCTCCCATCTTCCCAGAGGTACTGAGAAAGGCCTTTTCCAACTGGTATCAAGCAAGTTAAAAGGAGGCAGAAAAGAGCTGATCCTGTCAATATTAATATCAGATTCCTACAGCACTTGCAAAAATCTCTGCCAGATTTCTGCACCTTTGCCTGGCATCTGAACCCTGCCTGCGCTCCAGGCCTGGAGGATGCGTGTCCCTCCTGGGGATCCCAGCCTGTGACCCAGATTCTCCTTGCCCAGAGTTAATTTTTCTAATACTTTTTTTTTTTTACCATGCAAATTCAGTGTTTTTTAGAGTAAACAAAGAGGGGAAAAAAATCTACCCTGGAAAAGGAAGCAGTGGGGACCAGCTATCCAGTAAATCCCACGGCTGATCGTAAGCAGATGTGAGGGAGGGGAAGGGATGAGTTTCAGCATTTGCACACCACGGGGATCAACTCAGGCTTTTGAGACTCAGTGAGAAGAAAAGCCTTAAAATCCTTCTGTAGTAATCCAAGCAAGAAGAAACCCAACCACCAGTAGCTGCAGAGGCAGCTGGGGGAAGCAGTGCTCTTCCTCCTGCTGAGTGGAGATCCAGTGGGATCAGCCATGGATCACACTGCTGCCAACCCTGCCACTGCACCTCAAAGCAGGGAGAAGAATCGCCTCTGGGACCAGTGGCCTGGCGAATCATAGAATCCTGGAATGGTTTGGGTTGGAAGAGACCTTAAAGGTCACCCAGTTCCAACCCCTGCCATGGGCAGAGAACCACTGGCCATGCTGAAGAGGGGTCTGGTGGCATCTGCCTTCTCTCCGCCCCCAGAGCACACACAGTTATTCCCAGAAGATTCTTACAATCAAGCACAAAGGCCAAGGCTTTGAAGGGGGGACATGGCACGAGGAGAAGGGACAGCAGAGTATCCCAACCTTCACAAACATCACATAACCTGCCTGGTCCTGATCGAGAGCCAGTTCCCAGTGCAGGAACTCCACCTTTGCAGGCACCAGGGCACTGCTGGGCTGTGTGCTCTGGCTGCTCTCCAGGTGAGCCACGGGCACGGCAGTGGGTCCTGCAGGTGACACGTGCCATGACTGGCAGCTGCAGAGTCCCACAGTGTCTCCCTGCCAAGACACCAGCAAGAGTTTCCTTTGCCTTACGCAACCGCCAGCCCATGACGCTCAGCGTGTCCTACATCTGCTGGTTCTTCTTTCCCCCCTCCTTCCTCTCTCCATTGAAGCCCTCTCCAAGGTTATTCACCCCCAAGGAAACCACTGGAGCAGCAAAATCATCCACAGCAGGAGTGTTTGCCAGCGGGAAAGACAGGCATGGGTTATCCTGCTCCGGCTGGAACAGCCCCTGGGTGACGTGAACTTCCTTATCTCACAGCCTGGGTATTTATGGCATAAGAGCTTCTGTTCCTCTTACAACACCACAGTGAGGACGAGAAGGGTTACACATCCTTGAGAGTATTGGCACATCCCCAGGGAAATACTCTGAGAAAAGCTCCCACAGCCCAGCTCCACGGGACAAGGGGAAGGCACATGGGTGCCGAGAGCAGGGGGTGGCTTTGGGGACTACCCCCACTTCCTTGTCCATATCCCAAGCTCTCACACATCCAGGGCTCCTCTGGGGGAGGTCACAGGGCCAGTATATCCAGCCCAGTTGGGGCAGGCTGTCTACCTTGTCCTTCTGCAGGACCAAGGTGTTGCCCACACGTTCTGTGAACTGGTTCTTAGTGGCCCACAGCGACCAGCAAGGGAACATCTCGAATCCCAGAGACAGCCTGGTGACAGTCACACTGGCTTCCCTGGTATCTGTGGTGGAAATACCACCCAAAAGAGCTTGTGAGCTGCATTAACAGGGCTTTAAGAACACGGTTACCTGCTCTAGGTGACCCTGCCTTGGCAGGGAGTTGGACTAGATGGTCTCCAAAGGTCCCTTCCAACTCTAATTAACTATTCTGTGACTACCAATATCTCATGGTGATGAGGACTATGAGCATCTGGTCTGACTTGTAAAACACAGGCCTCAGAATGCTGAGCTACCCCAGATCCCTGAGATAGACACCTCTCAAGTCAGTCACCAGACAGGAAGCAGAGGGTGGAGCCCAATGGTCACTCCTCAGGTTAGGGTAAGGTCCTTCCAACCCAAACCATTCCAGGATTCCATGATTTTCACAGCTGCTGAAGACAGAACTGATGCTCTGACCCAGCAGGACATTTCTTACACTCTTTGGGAGGCCTCTCAAAGGCCAGGATCGTATGCCAAGATGTGCAGTCAGTGCTAGAAGGACATAAAACCAGAACAGAAGTTCAGCCTTACTGACAGAACGTGGCACCTCCATCTGGTGGGTGTTGAGTTCTGGGGAACAGTCTTTGTATTGTTCAGAAGTTTCTCCTGTAAGTCATACAAACTTTCCTGAGACCAAAATTGTATTGAGCTGTCATCAATAAAAATAAAACTGATATTTTTAATTGCTGCTGCTTTTACCAGCGCTTCCACCAACCGCAGGGCTGTGAGAGCACATTCAACAGCTGCTTGAACGTGGCCATGCCTTTGAGCAAACGGGGTTCAGAATGGGAAATCATCTCATATGGTGCTTTTCCTAACGGATAATGACTCCTTGGGATAGAAGATTTTTTTTTTAATACTTCATGTCAAAACCTGAAGCAGTAACTTTCAGATGTGCCCATAACTGGATCAAAAGTGATTGCTCTGGTGGAACAGAGCATCTCATTTTTCCCCTCCCCCCAAGAAAATGAAGTTAAAAGGAAGGACAGAGGCCAATGTTCAATACTGTTCCATGACACAAAAAGCTACATTTGAAGCTTTACTTCCATTTTTGGTAACCTGGAAGCACCCACCTACTACACCATTTTTGTTTTGCAGACCAGGGCTCAGTAGTTCTGACCCCTCCAACCCAAATTGCCGTGTCTGGGCTCAGCAGCTACACAGTCACTGCTGGGCAGCCAGGCTGGCAGGAACAGGCACGTCCAGAGCTCCTCCACACAAAGACCGGAATCAAAAGGTGCTTTAAAAGTTGGCCCTAACGCTGCAGCTTCGTGCTGTGCCTTTCACAGCCTGTGCTTTTCCACATCCTCCCTCAAAGAACAGGCCCACTCAGACACCATCACATTGTTAAATTGGGGATTTGGTTAAGGAAAAAGAATAAAACCCCAACCAAACCCCCAAACCAACAACATCCTACTCCTCCAAGGCAAAAAATCTCAGTTCTGCTGCAGTTCCTTGGGAGGAAATGGTCACCCCGTGTTGATAAGAATTATCAGGCTTTAAAAGCTGAGAATAGTCACTTACACCACTCACACCACAACTGGTGCTCACTGGTGCTCCTCAGCCTTGCTTGACAGAGAGACCAAATGGCTGCCAAGACCCCACAGGGCCCTGTGGGCTGGCTCAGGCCCCGCTGCTGCCAATCTGGTTGATAGAGGGGTTTGCAACTCATCTAAAAAGCCTCTAAGACATGGCAGGTCAGCAGCAAAGCCTGGGATATGGACAGATTCAGCCTCTGTTCTCCCAAGGGAGCCAGAGGAACGTTTGTCTCACCTGGATCCTCCTCTCCTGGAGCCCTGCTAGACCCAAGGCAATCACAGCTCCTCCTCTCCTTCATTCCTCGATTCCTGTGCCACCACTGAGGCCTTTTCCAACTGCTTTGCCTTACTGGCTGCACTGCACTCCTCTGGAAAGCTGTAACCAGCCCATCACATTATGGGATTCTTCCAGATTAAAGTCATAAGAAACCTGAGCCCATAAACATAAATCAAAAAGCACAGAGTATCACTTCCACCCCCTGCTCCCCCCAGCATCCTCCAAAGCTTTGAAACTTCATGACACATTCTTGCCCTCTGGGTGCAATTGGAGCACTTCAAAGATCCGGCTGAAACACATCAGCTCCTTCACAAAGAAAAATAACCCAGTAAATTCCAGTTACCTGCTCTTTTTTTTGTACAGCTGCCTTGGACTTTGCCACTGAGAACGAGCAGGAGGCACAACGTAGACACCTACATTCATTGATCAAACTGTGACCCTCAGAGGAACAAATGCTGAATCTTGGATTCCAAAAGGAATCAGTGGCTATGGACACTTGCACCATGGCAAATCTACGGACAGCTTTGAGACAGTAGCACTGTTCAGTGTCCCACAGCCCCCAAACACTCCCCAAGGGTGACTCAAAGGGGAGGCACCTGGACACAGCCTCTCCTCACAAACTTGGCTTCCATGCTCACAACTCTGCCTAAGGAAAACCGAGGACTTCCCAGCCCTGAAACCACCAGGAACAGCCCCGGAACACACTTGCTGAGTTGCAATCAAAAGTTCCACGTCCTCGCAAAGGTCATTCTGAAGGATCATAAAACCAGCACAGCAGGGCTCTGGCTGTTGGACAGGCCACAGGTACCCACTTCCAAACTGGTGCTGGATTCCAGGTCTCCACTAAGGGATGGAAACAGTTCCTCCCTCCCTGCTGTGACGGCTGAAGCAGAGCAGCTTCCCAGGGAGCGCTGCCATGGGCTGACACCCAACACCCGGAGCAAACCCCTCTCCTGGGGGACACTCACCCTCGGCCATCCCGGCTGGCCCGGAGCGGCAGAGCCCGGCAAGGCGCCTCCATGCCCAATTCCTGAGCCGTGCACAGGCTCTTCCCGGCCAGGCCGTCCCTCCCGCTATCTGTGTGCGTGTGTGCATCGCTCCCCAGTGATGTAAACACAAAGGCATGCGGAGCAGTGGGCGAGATGTAAATCCAGCTGGAAAATCCCACAGCTCAGCCAATCTCCACGCTGCCTCCCAGCATTGCCCTGGCTGCTCCGGGAATGCTCCCTTCCCGGTTCAGCTTAGTGCAGGAAAAACAACCCTCTCTGAGCACACACGGATTTATTCCCCCGATCCGAGAAAGCTCCAGGGACAGGACAGTCCATCGCTCGCTTTAAGGGAAGTTTGGGTTTCTCTCCCTCTTTAGAGAGTTCCCAAACTATTCAGAATTCTGAATATCAAACAGCAACACGGTCTTTGCTTGGAGAGACGATCCAGGGGAATCCAGTTAACTAAGAACCACCTCAAAGGCTGAGCTGGGGAGCAGGACTCACTCAAAATACAGGCACTGACAGTGGGGGACTCCTTCTGCCAGGACACCCACCCCCACAACTGAGGGTCTCCCAAGAGCAGGACTGCCCCACTCCAGCCCAGGACGCCTCATTAAAAGCTGATGAAACTCTGATGAAACTCTGAGCTTGGGCTGTGCTAAAGGCAGAGCAGGAGTAGCCTAAATGTGTAATTTGGGGCACTGTTGCCCTGGGCTCCAGGGGGACTTGCTGAGGTCCAAAGAAGGGTGACACATACCCCTGTGAGCAACCAGCCACCTCCTTCCTTTTCCCAGCTGCCACTACAGCCCTCGATCCAATCCACAGATGAGTAGATGTGCCAGTGTGTCCCTCACCATGCCCATGGCAAAGGGTCACAGGCAGGGAAGGGCCGACAAAGGGAATACAAATCAGGAAGGATGAGTTCTGACAGGCTGAACCTGTCCACGGAACCCAAGTGCTGAGGTAGTGAAACCACGAAGGATTTTCTCTCCAGTGCCTTTCTCCTGGTGCAGCTGGGCTTGGCTGATACAACCTGTGAGACAGGTACAGTCACGCTCCAGGAAATCCCACAGTCAAGGCCAGCAGGGCCTGGAAGCTCCCATGGAAGAGGGGAATGCTCAGCCCACGAGGTGACCGATGGCTGAACCCCAACTGAGGCTACAGAGTGCTCAGCACCACTCAGGGCCACCCCCAGTGCTGCTCAGCAGCAGCTCCTGGCAGGGCAGAGCTGGCTCCAGCTCCAGCACTCGGTGCTCAGCAACACCCCAGAGCCCGGAGGGGTCCCTGCGGCTCCGGCAGCATCGGGATTGTGGAGCCCCGGGAAGGGAATGTTTGCCTGCACAAAGGTTCCAGCCAGCGGGCACAAACTTCCATGTGGTGCTTCACACGTGGCTTAAGGCCCTTGAAGGCTGTGCTGCCACAGGAACAGGCAGGTGTGGGCCCACCCTGCAGAGCAGCCGGGATCCCCCAGGGATCCCTCGGATCAGGGAACCGAACTGCCTGGAAACTATGGATTGGGGTTTTTTCCCCTTGGGTTCAATCAATATCTTGAAAATTCCTGTTGGGGTGTCAACCAGTGAAGGTACCAGCGTTTCCTGACAGGAAACTGCACTTTGGCTCAGGTTTCCCAAAGCCACTGGGTAAAACTGAACCTCCCTCAGGGTGAAACAAATGTTCCTTCCCTCGGGGAAGTCTCACCTGCACACGAATCAAACCCCAACACCTGAGATTTCTGGCTGGATTCACCCTGTCCCTTCCCTGCTTGAGACAGCGGTGCCCTGGAGGGACCCCAGGACATAGAGGGGGACCCAGCAGAGTGTGGACAGCTCCCTGCTCCTACAGCTTCCTGCATGACCTTAGGAAATCCCAAATTTCCCTCACTGGGGGTAGGTTCAGGTTGGACATCAGGAGGAATTTCTTCATGGAAAGGGTGGTCAGGCACTGGAAGGGGCTGCCCAGGGAGGTTTGGAGTCCCCGTCCCTGGAGGTGTCCAAGGAATGACTGGACGTGGCACTCGGTGCTCTGGGCTGGGGGACAAGGTGGGGATCGGGTACAGGGTGGACTCCATGGGCTTTTCCAACCTCAGTGATTCTGGGATTCTGTGGTCTCGCTACTTTTGCTCAGCCAGGGCTTTCTAGAATCATCCTTCAGTCCACAGTCCTCTCCTCACAACCCCTGTTGTGGCTGGAAGCTGAAACCCTGACAGACAAACACTCAGACCACAATGCAGCAGCTGCTTAGAGGAACACAACAGCTTTGTCCAGGCTGAGAACACATTGCTGGAGGGAAATGCACGGGGAGGCAAAATTAAAGCACTGGGATTGAAACAAAGTCAAAGCAACTCTGTCAAAGTGGAAAAAACAACCGCCAGACCACAGTTCTTAACACAGCCTGGCCCTGGCAGGGACAACAGCCCAGATACACCAAACCTGGGTAACTCCTGTCCCGGCTCCTCTCACACTCAGCGAGCCCCCGGCAGCACCTCAGCCCTCGTCTTTGACCCCACGAGGCTCTAAAGCATCTGAACACAAAGGGAACCCGCACCCTGGGCTGCCCTGCACAGCCCGGATCCAGCAGGAGCAGGGGCAGTGCCTGTCGCCGGGAGCAGGACCCAGAGCACCGCCGGCACGGGGACACAACAACGCCCGTGCCTGCCCCGGGACCCGCGCGCGTTCGGGGCGGCTGCAGAGCACCCCAAACACCCCCATCCTGAGCCTCGGGAGAGCACGGCACGGGGAAACGAGGGCACCGCGAGGGCAGGGGAGGACAGGCAGCGACACGGGACGGGGTCGGGCAAGAGACGGGGCAGAAAAAGGTAGAACTGGGCAGAAAAAGGCAAAACTGGGCAGAGTCTGCGATGAGACCCGGGAAACACACCGGGAGGGCACGCGGGGCGGAGAGCAGGGCACGGGCGGGATCCACCGGCACCGAACAGCGCGGAGATGGCGCTCGAGCCCCTCTGAGCGCCCGCACGGCCCCGCCGGCACCTCCGAACACACTGCCCGGGGCCGGGACCGGGCGGCGGGCACGGGGCAGCGCCGGGAGCCCCCGCGGGCACTCCTCAGCCGTTCCCCCCAGCGAGGCCCGTCCCGCCCGGCCCCCCCGTCCTGGCCGTACCTGGGAGCGGCGGCGGCGGCCGCAGCGCCGGTGCCCGGTGCCGGCACATCGCGGCCAGGCCTGCTCCCCGCTGCCGCCCGGCCCGGAACCGCCGCGCGCGCCGCTCCTCGGGACTTGTAGTCCCACGCACCGCCCGCCGCCCGCGCCGCCACGCCGCCCGCACTACAACTCCCGGCGGCCCCCGCGGCACGGGCGCTCCGCGCTACAACCGCCGTCGCCACTGGCTCGGCCCGGCCTCCGGCGGTAGCCAATCAGACGGCGGCAACCACCGCCTCGGGCCACGCTGCGCAGAGCTCCGCCATTGGCGCGGGGGAGCGCGGCGGCCAATGAGCGCCGGGAGGGGCGGGGCGGCAATCACGCCAACCGCTGACGATTGGCTGCGCCAACGGCGGCCTGACCAATAGCGGCGTCGGAGAGGCTATAAAGGCCGCGGCGGGCAACACGCGTTCTCTTTTTCTATGCGGAGGTGAGAAAAGGATGAAGTGCGTTAGGGCTCGCGGGAAGGGAAGGGAACGGGGCTGGTAGCGAGGGCGGGCCGCTGATGATCCATACTGACCTTTCTGACACCTCGTCTGAGGGCGGCGGGCGGCCGCGGCCCCTGCTGAGCAGCCACGGCTGAGGCCCGCGGGAGCCGCGGCGGGGCCGGGCCGGGCGCTCGGGCTCCCCCTCACGCGCTGCCTTCTCCCCTCAGGGCTCGGCGGGAACCGGCGGCGACGCGGGACGTCCGTGCTCGGACCGCGGCTGCTCCCGGGGCTCTGAGCCGGTCAAACGCCTGTGCCGGCTGTGCTCTGTGGTAAGTGGGGCTGAGCCCCTCGGGGAAACCGCTGCTGCTGTACAACAGAGGGGTCAGAGCGACTCTTAAAGCACAAAGATGCGGCTGCAGAATGGGCTGGAGTACAAGAAATCATCGACTTTCATTCTCCCACGTGGGTTAGTTCCAGGTGAATGCCCTGAGCGCGATGGTGCGGGTAACTAAAAGCATTTACACTCTACGGCGTGTAGATTGAGAATTTAAATCTTTATTCTGCTGTGGAATATAACAAGTTATTCCAGCAATGTTCTTGCCCCAGCCTCAGATCGAGTCCAGCCTTGTCATTAAACTCTTTGCTGCTGTACCAATTTTTTAGCTTGCAGGTTAATAAAGTTTTCAACTACTTGTTTGGCTTTTGTCTCCGTTATTCAAAAATCCCATGGGTGACATGTAAAACCACTGACTGACTTTAAACTTTACTGTTGGGCACCCAGCAGGGTGTATTGAAATAAACTGCAGCTCAGCCCAGCTCCCTTTCATTGGAATCTTGGAGTCACTTAGGTTAGAAAAGACCTTTAAGATCCAGTCCACCTGATCCCCCAGCACTGCCTGGGCCACCACTGAGCCAGGTCCCCAAGTGCCACATCCACACAGCTTTTAAACCCCTCGAGGGATGGGGACTCCACCATTGCCCTGGGCAGCTGTGCCAGGGCTGGACAGCCCTTTTCTTGGGGGAAATTTCCCCTAATACCCAACCTAAATGGGTCACATCCCCTGGTGGTTCAGCCATGTGGATCCAGATGGGTTCAAGGCAGGTGAACTATTTGAGCGCTCTGTGCTGCTGTGTTTAGACGATCAAAACACTGCTGTAGCCACGGAGATTATAAAAAATTTTATTAACAGGAATGAACCAAAAGCTGTAAACAAGAGCCAGCAGAAACGAGAGCTGCGGGTGACGCTGGATGCACCAAGCAATTAATGCTGCATCAAACAATTAATGCTGCACCGAGCAATTCCTGCAGCATCGCGTGGTGGCAGCAGAGGCCCGTGGAAAAATCCCAAATGGCCACGTGAGGAGGAGCTCTGGGGTCAGGCCACTGCAGGCACTGGGAGACCAGTCCTACATTGGGAACTGGTGACTGGGAGAGATGGGGCTGTCTGCTCAAAACTTGGGTCTAATACCACAAACGTGGCTGTGAGGGCTCTGCTCTGGCAGAGTTTGCTCCCCACAGGTGGGTTGGAAATGCTCCAAAGGGAAACATTTACATCTTCACTGTTAGTGGTCTTTAACTGGTTTCAGTCCCACAGTGAACAGGGAGTGACCAGTTCTCAGCTTTGTCTCCCAGAAAGTGAGATGCCAATCCGAGAGGGAAAGCAGCAGCCTAAAGTAGGAATGCTAATCCATCAGTAATTCTAATTCATTAGGAATCCTGCTGCTAAATTTTGCCTTTAGGTAGACTCCCTGTCACCTCAGGATGGAGCTGCTGCTGCTCCCAGGGCAGGATGAGGAAGCAGAGGGAGGCACAGCTCAGGGCTCAGAGCTGCCTGGCTGTTCCTGCCCCACACAAAACCAAATCCCTGGGACCCAGCAAGCTCAGGGGCTCTCTGAAATCCCACTCTTTTCCTCAGGCAGCAAGTGAATGCTGCAGAGCCCAGGGTGGGATTCTAAGAAGCGTTGGGGACCCCTCAGTACAGCAGCAGTGGGAGCAAAGCAAAGCTCACCCAGGCACCTGGAACAGCGAGTTCTACACATTCCTATACAGTTCCTTTCCTGAGCCCCTCTCAGAGCCTGCCCTGGGCTCTGCTACCTGGAAACAAATCTTGAGAGCACCTGCAGCAGGTAATGACACTTTTCAGGTGAAGAGAGTTGCTCCAGTTATTTTAGGGAAAGGCTCGCTGAGCAATGGACCGATGCTGCTGCTCCAGTGGGAGTGTTGGCCACTGTGCCAGTGCTGGCCATCCCTTGGATCTGTGGGATGCTGAGGGGGGAAATGGGGGGCCCTGACAGCCATCCCTCACCTGCCTGCTCCTGAGGGACTGGCAGCAGGGTTTGCCAGGAACGCAAAAATTCCTGCAGGAATGGGTTTTCCGCAGATTACTTTAAAATTTAAATCAGACAACTTTGAGACTTGTCTCTCCCTAAAAAAAAAATAGGAAAAAAAATGCTCTGTTCTCAGTAGGTTCATTTCAGGATCCTTTTTCACCCTGTGGAGCTGTAGCTGCTTGTGTTGTTGCAGCTCACAGAGGAGCTTGGAGGCTCCTTGTGCCCATCAGGAAGGGGGTGCTGGAGCCAAAATTCCAAGCAAAAGGAGGGGCAGGGCTGTCTGAGCCAGCTGCTGGGGGGGGCTGGTGGTGGCCGGAGGGCAATGGATGGGTTACTTCCTTTCATGTGAAGTGGCCCACGAGGCTCAGCACAGCAGGCACCTGCTGATCTGCGGGTGGAGTTTCCAAAGGGAAAAACTGCCAAAGGCCAAACACTTCATCCAGATTCAGATTTGTACTTAGAAGTGCAGCTTGACAAAAAAACAGCCAAAAGCCTGACACAGACCAAAGGGGTGAGGAGGCCCTTGAAGAGAGCTGGCAAGAGTCTGCAGCCTGTAAAATCACTGCCTGCAGCTTCCCCCCAGCTCTCTGCGGCGAAAAGAAAGAGCTGCCCAAGAGAACTTTGAAGATATCAAAGCGTTGTTGCATCTGAAAACGCCATCACACTTACAGGAAGGTATTTAGAATAAGCTGCAATACATTAGATTTCTTCTCAATTAAAGTACTAGAAACGGCGGAAGGAGGAGAACCAAAGCCTTTCCTGAAGGGATAATTCAGGAATCTCTGTACACAGCCAGGTATGCAGGAGCTCATCCAGACAGACAGCCAAGCTCTGTGTTTGCAGGGAACAGGAGAATCCCTCACCCTGGAGGTGTGTCCCACCTCACAGGGATGCACAGACAGGAGAAAGCAACTACAAAAATGTTTGCCTTCAAACACATCCTTCCCGCAAGCCCCAGGCCAGGGGCTGAATTCCAGGGATGCAGGGAAAGGAAGGGGAATTCAGATGGGGAGAAGGTGTTGGTTCCCCTGCGTCGCAGCACGACTCTCACTAAGAGCGGGCACAGCTGGCCCTGGGAGGAGACCCCAGCCCAGCCCCTTCCCAGACAGCCAAGCTCCCGGCCGGGAGCCAGGCGGGAACACCAGGGGACAGAGCCGAGTGCTCTCAGCGCCCATGGCTGTGCTGGGGCTCGGGCAGCAGCGCCCAGCACGTGGCTGCAGCATCCCAGAGAGCTCCTCCTGCTGCTGCTTCCATGGCCCACGGCGCAGCTCACCTTGGGGGCAGACACAGACACGACAGACAGACATGCACACACTGCCCACGGGAGCACGGAGGGCACGGCCAGAGTCTCTGTACAAACACAGCGTTAGGACCTGCAGCAGCCCGAGCCTCGCACTTCCTTCTTCACGTAGTCGTGGAGCTTGAATTTGGGCTCGTTGGGCAACTTCATGGACCTGTGCTTCAGCTCCCTGTGGGAAGGGGGAACATGGTACTCCTATGCTGCCTGCTTCTGGGAGAAGGGATTTTGTCTGGAAGAAGCTGGGGAGGGACTTTGGACAAGGGCCTGGAGGGACAGGACAAGGGGGAATGGCTTCCCAGTGCCAGAGGGCAGGGTTAGATAGGATATTGGGAAGGAATCCTTCCCTGTGAGGGTGGGGAGGCCCTGGCACAGGTTGCCCAGGGAAGCTGTGGCTGCCCCATCCCTGCAAGTGTCCAAGGCCAGGTTGGACAGGGCTTGGAGCAACCTGGGCTGGTGGAAGGTGTCCCTGCCCATGGCAGAGGGTGGGACTGGATGAGCTTTAAGGTCCCTTCCAACCCAAACCATTCCAGGATTCTGATTCCAAGCTGGCCCAGCTCAGTTGAACTGAACTTGGCCAGGACACTTCGCTAAAGGCTCCCCCTGATGAGACATTTCATATCTCATGTGAGAGGGCAAGTTCTTGCCAGCAAAAGAGCTGAAGGTGGGACCCAGGGCATGAAGAGGTGGGTGACAGTGCCAGCCATTATCCCAATGGCTGCTGTGTCCCTGCAGGAGAGGTGCCCAGCTGCTGCTCCAGGCACTTACTTTGCAATGGCTGTGAACGCTAATTCCACGTTGAGGCCACTTTTTGCGCTGGTCTCCATGAAGGGCACCCCGTACTCCTGTGGGACGAGACACAGCAGCATCAGGAGTGTACCTGTGATGTTCCCAGGGGCTCCCAGGCTCTGGCCAGTGTCAGTGCCTGCCTAGGGAGTTCATACCCTGCCATGGTGGGCAGGGAAAACTGAGCCAGGGATCACTGCTCAGGTAACTTTGAGAATAATTTTTGAGGACAAAGAAACAAGAAATGTTAGTGGAAGCTTAGAGAAAGAAGATGAGTAGGAAGGGGAGAGCACAACAAGGGAAGAAAAGCAAAGTGGTCCCAGGCGTATTTTGGGTCAGACTGGTCTCCAGGTGACCATTTCCTGGTGCACATCCTCAGGCACCTCACCTACCTTGGCAAGTTTCTCTCCATCTTCCCTTTTCACCACTCTGTCCTGGGCTGAATCCACCTGCAATGGGAACAGCAAATAGCAATTTGGGGTGATTTGGAAGGTCACCAGTAGGTAACCTCCACATCCCCTTATGCCCTGCCAGGCTCCCCTGCCCGTGGCTCCACCGTGGGAGGAAGAGGAGGCTCTGGGAAGGTGGGGCCAGGCTCACCTTATTTCCCAGTAACATGAGGACCACGTCCTGCTGTGCGTATTCATGGATCTCTGTCAGCCAAGCCTGGAGGGAGACAGCCAGAGAGAGGGGTTGGCAACAGCCCCAGGGGGAGGAGGAGGAGAAGGGGGAGCTGCCCCAGTCCTGGGCACGGACACCCTCTGTGGGAGACGCTGCCATCCCGAGCAGTGCCAGGGATGTTCCGTGGATGAGCCCTGTAGACAAGCAGTGCCCTGGGGTGCCACTGAGGGGCCCACTGTGCCAAGCAAGCCCAGCACCTGCTCTGGCTGCTACCAGACCCCTATTTCCAAGGGTAACAGCAGCCTTTTGACCCCACTGCCCACTCTGTCTGCCCACAGGTGCCTCTAGGAATTTAACCCCAATTTCCCCTTGGTTGGGACGTTCAGACTAAGCCTCTTTTTCGAGGGTACCAAGGGTTGGCTCTGGGATGTGCCCCGTGCCCGTGTCCTGCACATGCTGCCCCCATGCCGAGCACACTCATCCCAGCAGGCCCCTGAACCTGCCTCCCTGAGTCATGGGGTGACTTCTCTGCCTTCTAATCCAGCCTAATCTAATCAAACCTGCCCTAATTCCCTGTAATCCCTGACCCTGTGGTGTGAACAGCCACTTGCTGCCTCTCGTGCCAACACTGCGCTCACGGCAAGTGCCGGCAATCCCC